ATAGCAACACTCAGGGCATACCCTGCACATACCTGGTCCTTCTGCATAGGTGCACTGTAAAAGAACAAAATAAACCTACATTGGATAAAGTCCTCGAAATTTTGTAGAAAATATTTAGGAAGCAGTTGTTATAGCCCTTCCAGTTATCATTCTATACTAAGCTATTCAAGAACTAGTGAAAGAATTTAAACAAGTCTTAGTTATACATCCACACATGTGTCAACTGTAGTGTGATAAACAGATTTTATTTTTCACAGTGAATGACTCGAACCTAGAATAATAATTGTTTTTTTCTGTCATGTTTAGGGCATGAGCATCTAATGCTGGACATTAACTTGGTAACTTTTATTTGGGACACTAAATAAAATTAATTAATGTTTTGGTTCCAATTCAAACCTCATATAATAGTGGAGTCCATACAGAGTTCATTTCATTTTTCATATATTATTCTTTGCTAAGGAGACAAAAGTATTACTGGCTAAATATTCTTATAAAGATTGTTTAGAAAGACTCAAGATTTCTTTAATTAATATTTTTCATTTATTTTACATAAAAGCAACATTTCTTCTTCCAGTCTCCCATCTAACCCTCTCCCCATCCACTCCTCCTTCCCTCCATTCAGAAAGGGACAGGCCTCCCATGGAGTTGAACAAAGCATGTTACATCAAGTATGTGGCACTTGATCTATAAGTAAGGCTCCTAAGCAGTGAGACCAGGAGCCTTAGCTTGTCTTTGGAAACCTATTCCCCATGCTGAATACCTCGCCCGGTCTTAAAACAAGAAGAGGAATTCAGTCCTGTCTTAGAATTTCTGAAAACAACAACAACAAAACCAGAAAACCAAAACTTAATCTCAAAAGAAAGAATTTGATGTCTTTGAATAAAATTTGGTCCATCTTCTCATCTTTTTGCATCCATCCTTCCCTCCTTCCTTCCTTCCCTCTCTCCCTCCCTTCCTCTTTCTTCCCTCCCTACATCCCCCCTCCCTCCTTTCCTCCCTTTTTTTTCCTTCCTTCCTTCCTTCCTTCCTTCCTTCCTTCCTTCCTTCCTTCCTTCCTTCTGTTCTTCCCTCCTTCCTTCCTGTCTGTCTTTCTTCTTTTTGGTGTGTGTATGTGTGTACAGTGTCCATACATTTGTGTATGCATTTTGACATATATGTGAAAATGTATTTAAATGAAGCCAGAAGACTTCACATTCTTGGTAAATGATGAATTTTGTTAATTATTGGCATTGTCAATGCCACTTTTACAAGTAATATCAAAGAAAGTTTCAGTTGCTTGTGATTAGATTTCAGTGCTTGAAAACTTCAGTAAACAGAGGATATCTTGCTTCATGAAGGACTTATTGATGGGGTTCTAATAAGAACTCTTGTTTGTTCTTATGCAATCCCTCCAGAAAGGTCTGTGGTATAGGTATAAGGAAACAAAAATCTAATGAGTTTGAAATTGAATAATCACTGAAATTCGGCTTTTTAATTTTCTTTCTTTTTAGCTTTACTTTATTAGTTCCCCAGTTTCTATGGAGGGTACAGGAGAGTACTGTATCATTACAGTGGAATAATATGAGTATCCTGGCTTTACCCTCAGAGAAGCACAGAAGGTAGGATGTCACCTAGCAGGGATGATGTTGTCTGATTTATTGTTCCAACTATGTCAAATTTTAAGTCTCTGTGTGTGGAATTTGGCACCATCTCAGAATGAAAATATTGTATAACCTGTTTATATAGTTTAATGTTCTTAATTTCCCTGATGACAACAGATTCTCTCTATAACATGATATAGACTCAGCATTAGGACTTAGGTTTATGGAGCAATTAATAGAAGGATCAGTTTACTTCAATAAGGTTTAAGCTGTTCTGCAGTGTAAGAGATGGTCCCAGAAGCACAATACCCAACTTTGGTCCTCCCAAAGTTTACAGTTTGAAAGTTTATTTGATAATGCACCACTAGTTGATAGAAATGTAGGGAAATAGCATAAAATAGAGAAGAAACTGAAAATAACGAGACATATTATCTTTTTGTGATGCTAGGCATTCTTTATTGGTGCCAGAAGTTGCATAGAATTTCTGAGAAACTGTAAGAAACTCAATTCAGTAAAGACCCACAGGATCTCATACCAAAATATCAACTGACTCTCAGCATATTGGTTAAAAGTGGTCCTACTTGTATCAGTCTGATCCCCAATATACACCCATATACATTTTAGCTGCACAGTGTAAGGGATGAAATCTTAGAGCAAAAAGTGAAAGCTACTTTATCATGTTCAGCAAAGGTTGCACTTGCCAGAAGACACACCACTGGAACCAGGAAGAAACTGGGACTTTGCAGATATTACTGACACAGAAGGTGAAAGGAGATGATTCTGAATAGACAGATGATAGTTTTACAAGATTTGGTTTAGTCACCTGGAACCCATAACTCATGATGAATGTAGATATATAGAAGTGCTGCATGTTTGTCCTCAGTGAGGAATTCAGGGAAAACATGACTACTTGAAATAAATTAGGGAATGTTAAACACAATATAAAGTATAAGTAAAAAGAAATTACCAACTTTGGTGAAGTCAAGGAAGATTCTTGGGCAGGGATATTCAACTGGCCTGGAAAGAATGTGTTAATAATGTTGTGAAAGAGATCTATAGAAGCCATCACACCATTAGTACCTATGAACATTCCCACAGGGATTTGCAGTTTATACACTGCCTTCACATTTGTCAACATATTTTAAATAATATGTTTTAAAAGATCATTTGTGAAAGCATTAGCTCCTTTCTATTTGCAGAGAAATGGATGCTTCATGAAGCGATGTGACATATCAAAATCAACTTTGAGAAGTGTATGAAAGTCAGGTTGCAGAGCAGGTACTGATTCCAGTTCCTAATGATAACAGCTCATGCTTTGGAAACCAATTGGGCTAAAGCAGAGCAAGCACCAAGCTACCTATGTTACTTAATACACAATAACTCGCTAATGTCAGTCATTATTACTAGCTTTATATGAGCTTTTATGAATCTCTAAGAGCCCATAGGAAACAATACAAAGATAGGAAGTAGATGTTGGGCAGGTGCAGCCTCTTCAATGATAAAACCTCGCATATTTTCTACTTTTGCATATGTTTGGGAACAAGAACAGAAACCACCTATCTGTAGTTTTCGCTCTGACTTAAGTTATGTCTTTTATGTATTTTTATTCTATGTGATCATAGTTAGCTTCTCTATCACTTTAACTGACTTTTCATTCATTTCTCATCATTTTGAGTGAAATGGAATACAGAACAGGTCTGATGCTGAAGGTTATACATCTGCCATCTTTATGTAGTGGCTTCCTGTTTAGTGTATGAGACACATCTTGATCACATACACTTCTAAGCTGAGGCAGTAAAACAGTTCTGTGTGAAACTTTTAGACACATGTGTTAACAGCAGGAGTCAAATAAAATGATTAGCAACTGATTTGTTTCCTTCCTCTGGGAAGCCTCTGGAAGCCACCTGCAGTGACAACTGCTGCTGAGCCCATTGGCACGGCTCTAGGGACACCTGCAGCAGTACCTCCCAGAGATACAGTACATTTAGATACTTGAAGAACTGCCATAAGTCCTATAACTAAGTGGGATTTCTTTTCTGCCAGTGTTGTTTCCAGTAACTCTAGGGAGTTCAACTAAGGGTTCCACAATGGCTCCTAAATCTAGATGTAGAAGAGGGATGAAGGATGCTGGACCTGTAAAACTCTGCATTAGTCAGAGCTCTTGTCAAAACCTGACTTGGAAATTGACGTCTGGAAGAAAACTGTGAATAAATGCAAGAATATTATTTCAAAGCAGTGTTTTAAAACCCTAACTCTTAGTGACTGTAAATACTATGTGTGACTGGTTTAGGTGAAAGAATGATACTAGATACAAGCAAACATTATTACTGGATAGAGAATGTAAGAGAGGGAAAATTATGTATGACTTCCAAATTCATCTCAAAGGAAAACCTGCTCTCTTCCAAAGGGAAACAGAAGGATAAGGTCTGGGGGAAGGGGAGGTGGTGGGCTGAGGGGGAAGGAGCAGACAGAGGGAGAACTATGTTTGGGATATATTGTATGAGAGAAGAATTTATTTTAAATAAAAATTCTTCCATAATAGTTTACTTCTACTGTCAAAAGCTACTGATTATTAACTATCAGAAAATTTATGTGATTAAAACAATTTGTTGTCTTAGCATTACTTTAAACTTCTGCTCAGGTCTTCACACTAAATGAAATCTCTACTGTGTAAAGATAAATTAAGCAAAGTGATGGTGAGCACATATGTTCTGTGAAATCCCAAGGTTCTTACTTGTTAGTCAAAGTCTGACTGGTGTGTTAGTAGGCTCTTAGAGGTTCAGTGAACTTCATGGCCAGCCTGCAGATGGCAGCAAACTTACACTTCCTTACCAGAATCTAGCCTCTCTATGGCTCCTTCAAGGTTATCCTTTCTTTCTCTGTTTTTATTGTCACAGGTGATATATCACACAAAACAATTAGAATAATATAAGGGGAGAAACATCAGTACTACTGGAACATGAAGGCAAGTAGAAATTCAAGGAGGAAAAAAAGCAAAAGAAAATGAAACATGAGACTAAGACTAGCAGAAGAAAAGTAGTTTGACACTGTCAGCTTATCTTTTGGATTTGGCAGGAATAATTTTGGGCCATGTAGTTTGAAACCTGTTTAACACCAGCTAAAATGAAAGATCACAATGCTGTAGCATAGAGTTCACTGATAAGTCATACTGCTAATGAAGATTCCTTCATGAAGCCACTAGGCTAGAACTATGATCTCAAGGGGAGACACACCTAATATTTCTAAAAGCATAGGTAGCAGCAATCCATTGCATTGACAAAGTCAGAAGCATTGCCTCTGAAGTGTCTACCATAGGATTGTATCATCTCTTGTCAATACTGAAGAGTCATTACTACTTACAGATTTAACTCAGTTTATCAGCGGAAAAGCTATTAACCTTTGATATCATTTGCATTCTAGGAATCAGATTTCTTGGCTGCAAATGGATTTTTCAATGATGAGCAAGAGGAAATAACGAAGATGGAAGCAATCACTAAAACTAGGCTCCAATTGTTATCAGCATATCAATATTTGCATTTTAGGCCTCATGGAGCTATACAGAGGACATTTGCCTTATTAGCAAGGCTTCATGAGCCGTAAAGGATTTTGTTTTCCATGATTCATTGTTTAACAAAATGTCATAGGAACCGGGCCCATTTGCCTTTTAAAGCCACCTGTCTTCTGACAGAAACAGGTGTGCTGTGTAGGTAGTGTCCTCAGTGTAAAGATGAGCTGACCAAAGAAATGCCTCTCGAGACGTACCAGTATGAGGGAGAAAGTGATACTCTGACAGCTTGGCTGTTAGAGTATGAGCATAAGATTTATGAGGCCTCTCTGCACTGCCACCTGTGAGGCTAAGAACTGAGCTCAAATGTGGGAAGAGGCCAGTGGACAGCAACTTCCAGATTGATATTTCTGAATGATTATCTGTTAACTGATCTTGATTAAAGTCATGTTGTATACCAATCCAGATATGCCAAATGTTTACCATTTAATTGCTTTTTCATTGCATAGAGTTTAAATTAATTCAACACCCATCTCCCCCCCCCCTTTTTTTCTTTCCATGTCCGGCTCTCCTCTGGTTTTACAAATATAGGAAGATCAGGGAATCATGGGATATGATATATTTTTTTTTCTGGAACATATAATCTATTCTTTAGCATTTAAATAGTTGTTTAAGCAGTTTCTGACACATTACATACATTTAATAAATATGGCTGTTGCTTTTGCTTAATTAACTTTTATTGTATATAAAACAATAGGTCAGAACATTTGGTGTTAAAATACTACTAAGCATTTGGGAAACTGTAGTGACTCAATTCTCTTGTGATAATTATTGTATATTTATCCAGAAGGGTAGTTTAGAGAAGGGAATGGTATATACCAAGGGCACCTCTTATGAGCCAGGATCTGCTTAAGAACATTCACATATATTGTCATATAATGAAAGAAACAATAAAACAAAAATTAGTTATGTCTACTTTGCTACATTGATAGCAAAATTTACTTCTACAGCACCACAGGCCTGGAAAACCAAATGTTAAATAGCAAGTCGAGTATTTTGATTGACTATCAACTCTGTTTTGAACAAAAAAGGACAAGCTCATACCAAGGAAGTGTAATGTTAGTGAATCAGAGAGGAGAAAGATGTCATTTTGTGATAACGGATTTAAAGTTGGGTAAATAGGAGTGATGGAGTCTATGGTGTGTTCTAGGGAAATTTTGCTTCTCATACTTGTATTTAGAAATGCTGACTTCAACCAAAAGAAGTCAGAAGCATGAATTTTTCTTGTAACACTCACAGAATTTAGTTGGTGGCAACTGATGTGAATCTGGACAAGTAGTGAGATTAAATAATTGTATTTAATTGTCATAAAACCATGGAGATTTAAGTTTAGTCCTTAGAGGACACAGTTTCATTTCTATTTCTAAAGTAAATGAAATGTTTCAATGTAAAAGATTAAATAAATAAAATATATGAGTGTATTTGACCAACTTTACTAAAGAATAGTACTCTAACAATCAAAAGTAATGTAAGTCTGTATTGTAATAATATATATGTATGTATCTGTGTTTTATGTGTGTGTGTCTCTGTGTGTGATGAATGAAGTATCTATAATTTCTCTACTCCTCTTTCCTTCCCTGAACTATCTAACACCATTATTTTGAAACTAACCTTTCATTTATTCTATATTCATATGATAATGCTTCTAAGTTCTGAATGCATGAACAGAATATGACTCATATTTAAATCATGCTCATTTCACAGGTAAAATTTCAGAGTTGTAAAGAGAGCAAATGACTTTCTCCAAATTGTAAACTAAATACCAATGAGGTTGGAATCCTGATTCAGTCTCAGCTTAAAATGGTGGCCTCCTTTCCTTCATTTTCTCTTTAGCATAGAAGATAAATCCTTGTACCTCAGCTATCCAAGGCCAGACATGATTAACTCATCAACACCACTGGAAATGGGTACACTGACCTCCCATCATTTGCTAGGAAAACAACTTCACTATATTTTAAATTTCTATTGCAATACTTGAAGAAGACTTTTGAATCATGAGTGCTAACAAAAGTGGTCATGACAAATGAAAACAGGTATCTTGAAAATCATGATGGCATCTGACTTTCACTGGGATTAACTTGATTTAACTTAGTATCTTTTTAAAAAATTAATTTAAAAATAGCATGACTATTTGTTGTGAAAACCCAATGGTAAACAAATACTTTCTGTCTTTTCACATAGGTTGAATAAATAAGACTTGAAATAACTGTCCTGAATAACTTTTTCTAGAGTTTTTTTTTTTTTTTTGTGGAGGAGGTGGTCCCTGCAGATGTAATACAGGGAAGCAGACCCTGTAAAGAGAAAAGAATGAAAACCTGTGTAGATTGACTTTGGATAGGATTATGGATCCAATAGACAGTTTATTCTCAACATATTTAAACCCAACATAATTTAGAAAATAAATTTCCTGGTGTAATACAATTCCTATTGCACAAGGAAGTGTAATTACATTGAAGGTCAAATCAGGGTATATGTCATTTCTTCCAAGATGGTGAGTTCTATAGAGAGTCTACCTGTTATAGTTTGTGGGTCTAAAGGTCTGACCTAAGATCATTTGGGCTATTAGTCACCTTTGGTCTTAGATATGGGAGCTTCAGGGAGATTCTGGCTATAAGGGCCATTTTGATTACTAGCCACCTCTCATATTACTTATAAGAGCTTAATCTGGCCTACCTCAATGGATAATGCAGATCACCATGCTGTTAATCTCTCCCATTTCTCAGCTTGGAAGAACAGATTATCATCTTTCCCATTGGAAAGAAAATCCTGTATGCTTAACATTCCTTGTTTCTCTGGATCTCTGTGGGCACAAGGACCTTCAGGCTGTGTTCCCAATAGTATTGTTACAATACTATTGTGTCTGGCACAAGTTAAAACTTTTTCTCTATAAAAGGTTGTTCAAGATCAACTAAGTCACCCTGCTTTTCCAGTCTTTCCTGGAGTAGATTCAGATCAGTGTGGCCTTCTATCTGATGCTACTGGTTGGTTTAAGGAGAAAGCCATTAGTTGCTTCAAAATCCATATTAGTAGAGTGTAACATCATTGCCAAAAGTGCTTGATTACTGGAGAGAATAAACTGTGCTGTTATTGGGAGTTGAATATGTTGTGTACAAATGCATTAAGACGGTAGACAAAGAAAATAAATTACTATACTACTGAACAGGTATCTGAAAAATTCTGCAAAACAGTGTTGAGTCTTTATGATTAGGGCATTTCTCCATTGAAAAAGATGCACAAATAAGGGAATTTATGTCACTATCTAATTTACATCAATCATAGTGCTGACAAGTATTATTCTGTGACCATTGTAGGTACTCTGTGTAGTTGTTATATTTTGAAAGGGCATCATATGAAGCCTTGAAAGGTGTTTTTTCCACTAGGGGTAAAATTAAAAGCCATTATCCTCCCATATGGCCCCCAATTGAACCTGAAATAGCCATGTCAACTCTTGTTTCTTAGAATTGGTACATTCTATTTTATTTCCTGAATGATGCATCTGTTTGGGATCTGAAAAGCTTGGTATGTATCTGGAAATCTCACAAAAACAGAATCTCATGAAATTTTCAGCCTTGATCAGGTTGAAAATATGCTGGCACAGCCAATGCAGGTTCCAGCCAAGTCATGGATGTACAGAGAAGCCCTGCAGTACAGAATGCAAGGCAATGGCAGAGAGTAAGTTCAAAGTCCTTCCAAACTTTCCAGACACTGTGCCATAATTTCTGGGCAGTGGCTCAGCTATGAAGGTGCTCATGTCAAACGGATAGGTTCAGTAATTCCTGAAACTGATGATGCCAAATAGAAGAAAGCACAGCTACCCATTTCCGCAAAGTCAGCCAAGAATGTTATTCCTCCAATATAAATATCACTCCTCAATTCTCATTTGTGAGGAAATGAGCAGTCAGAAAAGAGAATTTAGTTGTGTTCCATGAGCAATTCTAAGAAGCCTCCTTGGGTCATATTTGGTGTGCAGATACTTTCTAAATTGTTTTTCCATTTAATCCCTGTGAAAAACTTGGAATGTCACTATGGTCGGTCATTCTAAGTTACTGCAGAGGCAAAGGGAAACAGAAGATCTCATTCAAGGTCACATATCATAGAGTGTTAGAGCTGGGACTCAACTCTTAACACCCACTCTAATGCACAAACCCTTTTCAATACACTAAGAGCTTGTCTCTGAGTTTGCTTTAGAATTTTGGAATGTAATATATATTCAGATGATGTTTCCATTTTTAAACACACTCCTAAAATACATGTGCAATTCCTTCATGCCATGAAGGATTACAGTGTTCAAAATTCATTTCCACCAAGTGAACAAAAGTCGAATGACTTCAAGTCCTATAACTTCTAAATAATTTTATGAAGTTTGTCAGAAACAGAAAGGAAATATTTTTTTGTTTCTATTTACTTTTGATTCTCAAGTGCTTCTTATAGCTCACTTAACAGTAAATGAAGATTTTTCTTTAAGCAAGAAAAAAAGTCCTTGAGACCAGGAAGATATGATTAGATACAGGCAGCCAATAGAGGTTGAGAGATAGTTACCAAATACATGTGAAAATTAATCACTTTTCCCCATCTAGAAAATAAGTCACATTCACGGAAACACCATTTCTGTCTGGTCATTATATTAACTCATTGCCTACAGGTTCATTCAAGATAATCCTAGGAATAGAATTCCCAGTTATAGACCATGAAACTTAACTGACACGGAATCACTCCACAGGTAACATTCTGCTATTGCTGGTTTTTGTCCAATTGCTAATAGTTTCAAAAGCACCCGTGCTAATAATAAGACCTGCCTAACTTCATAGAAAAAAATAGATAAAAAAGCCAGAGACCTTGAGTTGGAGGGATCATCAGTGCCCATCTGGGACAAATCTTGTTTAGGCACAGAAAGTCACTTTTTCTAAGTTCCCTCTGTTAGCAAGAGGTTGATCTGCGTCTACTCACATCCTTCTAGGACTTCAATAGAGCATCTCTGGAATGACTAGATTCATTATTTTATCATGTTGGATGTGGGAACACCAGACCTTGAGCAGAGACCCACTTCCCCTTCTGCCTGGGAGTAGGCAGCTGTAAGACAATGTTTAGTAAAAACATGTTTACTAAAAACGATACAATAAGTTCCTGGCCACTTCCCCTTTCTGCCTGGGAGTAGGCAGCTGTAAGACAATGTTTAGTAAAAACACGTTTACTAAAAACGATACAATAAGTTCCTGGGAAAGGCCTTCCCACAGAAACCGCCCTGACCTCGACCTTGTCCAAAGACTAACCGCACCTTCAAAAACCCACACACATCCACCTCGGGGGTCAGAGCAGAACCAGCCAGGGTAGAGGAGAGAGCAGAAGCTTCTCTGGTGGGAGCCTTTCTTAGGAAGTTTTTCTTGAACCTTTTTGGAGCCTGTTTAAAATTTTCTTTATATCATTGAACGAGTCTCTGTGTTTTCAATACCCGACACCCTCCGCACGTTCTCGGACACAGGCCGCGCAGCAGACGTGACAATTGGAGGTCCCACTGAGATCGTGAAAGCGAGGTAAGTGGACGGGGTTAAGAAACTATGGGGAATAGTTCCGGGAAGCTAGAATCATTGCAGTATCAACTAAAAAAGTTACTTAAAGAACATGGGACTGCAGTCAAGTCTAAAACCCTAGAAGGCTTTCTAAAATCGATCGAACGAGCCAGTCCATGGTTCATTACTGGGGGAAGCTTAAATATTCCAGATTGGGAGGAGGTTTGCCGTGATCTTCATAGACTTTTACGAAAAGAGGGATCTGAGTCCTTGCCCCCTACGACATTCTCCTTATGGAGATTAGTGAGGGGAGCACTTTTGACAGATAAGGTTCGTCACTGCCAGGTAGTTCAGGACACAAAAGAGGCTTTTTTAGAGTTACAAGAGACTGAGACTCAAGCCTCCTTGAGTTCAGGGGCAGAGAGTGATGATGAAGAGACCGTGATTGAAACTAGAGGCTCCATTGTTAGTGAGGATGAGGAGGAGTCTCTTAGTAACAACAATAAAACGGGTAGACATCTCCGGGCGCGACCCAAAAAGAAGGACTCCGGTCAGAATCGGTTATATCCTTCTCTATCAGACCTAGAAAATGGAAGTAGCTCAGACTCAGACTCGTCACAGTCTGAAAAGGAACGGTTACTTGCTGAGATCGCGGCCCTTAAAAAAGAACTAAAAAAGATTCTAATTAAGGAAAGACAGGACAGGGAGAGAAACCCTTCCCCATACTCTGAAAAAAGGGACTCCTCCTATGAGATAACCCAGTCCTTCTCAGACCTGGAGGGAAGACCCAGAGGAGGAGTCCAATGCTGCCTGGTGGTGGCCCCAGTAATGGAAGTTACAGATCCGAACAATTCTGGACAGGTCATTAGGCGTCATAACCCTTTAAATTTTAAGGATATAAAACAACTTAAA